ACTACTACACATCTTAATATAATGATTATTATTCGTCACAAACTGACTTAGTTAAGAGGAAATAAATTTTCGTTCATGTATTTAATTTGTGGGTATAGTAAATTATATTTATTTAAAAATAGCTTATTTTTCACTTTATGAGCTATGATGGCAGCACTTGGTATTTTACGAACATATGTATTTAGAAAATACAAGTTTTAAGGATAACATTATGTTAAAAATATTTACAGATGAAAAGTCACAACATGGTCCTTTTGTATATTTGACGTTTTTGAGTATTTTTTGCGTGAAACAACACTTCAATTCGGCATTTTTCATTAGGCATGAACACTTGCGGAATGGCGCAAGGCGCGGAGCAACTACTATAATTATACTTAACTCGTATAACGGCTATGAGTCCGACTCTTGTATCTTTGACAGAGGGGTGTGTATGTTTTGCGATACCGTCCACTTTGCTTCAATACTCAAAGCTGTCAAGATATGAATCATTATTTATTAATGCGGCATTATTTATTTTTAATAAAAACATTTTGTATTTAAGAAAATCAAAATATTTTTAAATAAAATATATCCTTTATCCGTCCTGCTTTGCTTGCTTTGCTCGCCACCTGTTCGTAAAGTTTCGTCGCAATCGGTTCAGCCATTTCCAAGATCAGCCCGGGTAAAGCTTTTAAAAATGCTAGCTTTTGTCTTAACAGCGTGACAGCGAGCAAGTAACCTCCTGACGAAGCTAGTTGTTGCCATACTTTGATTATATACATGTCTAGATAGAGTGTTGCGCTACAATCGTAACAAAAACAACGGGTCCGATTTCGAGTGCGCTGCGTCACTTGGGGGCTAGTTGAATGATACCAGCTCTTGAATATTTCCCATTAGATTAAGTACTCATTTGATATTTTAATTTTTTTATATATATTTCTTTTGATTTACCTAGTTACAAAATAATAACGTTTCGCATGACATTGTACTTTTAGTTAATTTTATTTAATTTGGTATAAATTGTTTATATATTGACTTGCTTACTTATAAAAATAATGATTTGATATATTATGTTAAACAATTTTCACATGTCAGATATGGTAAACATATGGACTATGTAGAACTTTTTATTATCTTTAATGTACCATGTCTATTGGTATTTATTAGCTAGTTTTGGTATTTACGTAGTTTTATTAATGAAAATGATGAATATACATACATATCAATAAAATAAAATACATTAATAAATAAAATCCAACCAGATGACCTCGCCAGGGGAGACCCAAGGGCGGAGGCTTTGATTATTACAAAGAACCCATCCAAGATACCCCTCTGTAAAAGTACAGGAGTCCGACCATGCTCGTTATATAAAACTCTCCCCGAAGCCCGATCGAAAACGCGTAAATCGAGCCCCGACAAAATGCCGAATTGCAGTGTATTTACATGCAAAAAAACAATCAAAAACGTCAAATCTACAAAAGGACAACGTGACTTCATATGTGAGTATTTTTAACATAATATTAAAGTAATATTATCATTAAAACTGGTACTTTATAAATATTTTCATCCAATACTGAGTGTTGCCATCATAGTTCATAAAGTGAAAATAATCTGTTTTTATATAAATATAATTTACTACACAAGTTAAATATATTAACGAAAATGTATTCCATAATAACTAAATAAGTTTGTGATGAATAATAATAATTACATACAGATGTGTGGTGAATTTTGTTAAATGATTTATATATTCAGTTCAATTTCAACAAGATTCTGAATATTATATAATTTAATTTATTTTATTATTATTAGGTATTTGAAAAGGACGAAGAGAGAACGAAATGTGAAATGAAGGAAGAACAAAAACGAAAAGAAACAAACAAAAGGCCTATTAAAAAAAAGGTGGAAAGAGGCAAAAAACACGGGAATTATATAGGGAGAGAAAGGGGATATGCGATCTCTTCGTATAATGTGTGGCGTTACCATAGCCGATCGAAAGCGAAACGAAGAGATTCGCAATATGGCAGGATTGAAAGATGACCTTATCACAAAAATTGATAGGGGCGTACTCCAATGGTTTGGGCACGTTGAGCGAATGAGTGAATGAAATATATAATGGTGAAGAAAATATATAGAGCGAAAGTAAATATTAAAAGGTGTCGAGGTAGCCTGAGACTAACTTTCGAAGCACATGTGAGCAAATTGCTCGAAGAGGGGAAGGTCAAGAGTACTCGGATACCTAGACGTGCATGTATGAAGAAGTTAATGAACCTGAAAGAAGCGAAAGAGGTATGTAAGGATCGTAACACTTGGCGATCTGTTCTCTCTGGCTACCCCGTTAGGGATTGTGCGTGAAGATAAGTAAGTAAGTAAGTATATAATTTAATATAATCGATAACTATTATTTATTAAAATATTATACAAAATAAAGGCCTTATAAGTCAAATAGAAACTTGCTACCTCGCAGCAGAAGTGTGCAATTTTTATAAAAATAAACTGGTATCACTGCAACCGAAAGTATTGCACTATAGTGATGTGCGCCACAACTTTAGCTATCAATAAGTTAATTAACCGTGCGGGATTGTCTGCCGAGCTGGTTTAAATATTCTAAAATCTCCTCGATACACAGCTTTTCTTGGCTTTTGTGTATGTATTGAGAGTGCAAAAGGTTTATTTGAAAACTTAATATTAAGACCGAATGCTGCACTAACTTATTTACCCCTTCACAAAGTAAGTCAAGACCACATAGAGATTTTATTTCTATTATCAGAAGCCACGGTGGTTATTCTGACAATCCAACTGCACGCTATAAAATATTAAAATGGTAAAGTGTGTCAATTTCAAGCTATTTATAAAAAGCTGTTAGTGCACACTGAATTGATCCGAAATGAAAGAGGTACTAATTGCATTCCTTTAGAAAAAATTTCAATTTTAAATTGTACATCAGCAATTGACAAAATCAATAGCACTTCTCGACAAAGAAAAACGGAGTCGGAGGATGTTGCAGTACTTGCCACAGATAACATAAACACTGAAAAAAGTATGATGGATGAAATAGAAACCTACACATATTTATCCCCTTTTGGCGAAAAAGTGGTGGAATACATTGCAGGGTTTGTCGTTTTCTCAAGCTTAAAAAAAATTAAATGTGAAACATGCACTAAAGCCCTCTTAGGTCAGACTAATGTAAAAAGTCTGACTTATCAAAAATCTAGGGGAGGCTTAATGTACTCATCCCAAGAAGTTATTGATTTATGTCGCCGGTGCGATTTAGAAATTCGGAAAAATCAGACAGAGAGAAAGTTAAACAAAATAGGTTTAATAAAGTAATAATTATGTAGATTAATTTTATTTATTTTCTTTAAATATATAAAAATATTTGAAAGAACTAACAAAAATACTATTTAGTGCGTGACGTCATGTGTTTCATTTATTTTGTGTAGGTAAGTACGTAACATTTACTGATCAAATAACTAAAGTAATTATTAAATAATAATGTTCTCCTGATTGAAAGATGATGTAATAATATTTGTATTTTGTCTCCCATAGTTTCGTCAAAACTCCCTAGTAATATCTGACAACACCGGCTGATCAGACTAACCTCCAAAGTAATTCGTTACTTTGTAGGTTAGTCTGATCAGCAAAATCGTGTTTTCATACAACAATAGTGGTTAAATAACAAAACCTATTGATGAAAAGTGATCTTGGTGTTATTATACGGTTTTCTCACATAATTGCGACACAGTTTAACAGCGCAAACCGGCATAATTAATTATTTTCCGTGAGCACGTTATCCCTAAGTGATTCAAATGACACTGACGTAGGTTTCAGTCAGTGTTGCCAAGTCTGAAATCTAGCGGACGGTAGAATTCTTCTAAAAATACGGTAGAATTTTCGAAATTATGTTGTAATATATATTTGAAATACGGTAGAATTACCTTGTTTATTTAGTAGCATGTTATGGGTCAGAGTTAAAAAAAAAACATATTTTTAATCAGAATCGGACAGTATAATTGTTTCAATATTTTTATACATATCATTGTTATGTTTTGCGATCATAGCGTGAGTGGGATTAAAATCAACACAGTTTTTTCCGTGACGCTGTATGGCTTGCTGCGATAAGAGATTACCCTTGATGGATTTCGTTAGGAGTTTATTCCGTTTTTTTGTTTTTATATCGTTAACTCTGCTGAAGACTCTTTCGCACTCAGCATTCGAGTGTGGCAGAAACAAAATGGCCAACATAAATTTTGGCAAGTGTTGGAAATAGGTATTCCCTTCTCGATGTTGGTCACGCAGTTCTGCGACCTGAAAAAAAAATGATTAGGCTGCTATAACAATAGAAACCAATATGAATTCACGTTGCTTCGAGTTTACATGGAAACTTACCTGGTGCCAAAATACGTCAGGGGGTTGACTTAAATCCAAATCTTTGTAGTATAACGGCAACTTCCGCCACTCATCATCTAGTTCTTGTTGATGTTGGATTGAAGTTGGGGCAATTCTGGGCAGTAATGGAAATAACGACGAAACTGACTCTTCCCTGTCATCAGAAATTACTTTCTCTAGATCAAATTTTGCTATTTATGTCATAATTTTGTCATTAAAACAGTATCGTTTACGAAGGCCCACACAAGCTCTAATAATAAAATTTTTACACATCTTTCTGAGAGTTAACTTTCTTTCTTCATTTTCAACAGAATCTAGTTCTTTCTGGACACCTAAACCTAGATATATGTCTTTTAGGTCCTTGTGATTTCTGTCATTGGATCTATAGTTTCAATAGGAGCGGAATTTACATAATTTCTGTGTAAAACCAATAGTAACAGTTCTTTATAAAAAGCTGTCATTTTCCCATGTAGTTTCGTAATTAAAATAGATTCGCTCTGAAAACAGCTATTTAATGTTGTAAATTTTGGCAACATCCAAGCCAAAAAATAGTAATAAGCCTTGATTATGGGATCATTCAGGCATGCATGAATATCGTGGCACTCCGATTCTTCCAGCCATTTGCTATTGAATTAAAGACGTAATACATCCCATTGTTCCAGAATCCTTTGCACTACTGCATTTAAAGACAACCATCTAGTCTGGGCTGGTCTTAGAATTTTGTGCACATCCGCCTCAGCAAAATACTGGAACTCTTTCAACTCACTCTGCCTTTTACTACTGGATTTAAAATAATTATAAATATTTCGCGCCATTTTTTCACAATTTAGTGGAAGCTCTTTACATGCGTCACTAGCGCAAAGATGCAGAGAATGGCAAATGCATTTGATCACAATTATGCCTGGACAACGTTGACGAAATCGACTTGAAACTGAATTGTTACATCCCATCATTGTGTTGCATCCATCAGAGCCGAAACCTATGATGTTTTCCGTAGGAATCTCATACTTTTGAAATGAACCTATAACAGTATTAAAAAGTTTTTCGGCATTTGCAACATGATCGGTGGTTTTCTCATCAAATAATTGAATCAAATTCCAAAACCGAGTGATAACTTTACCAATCATTGGATCAAAATACCTGACCACTACAGCTACTGTTTTTACTACAGCAATATCTGTGCTTTCGTCTATCAAAATTGAAAACATTTGTGATTTCAAGTCACTGATCAAGTTTTCTTTTTCAGTTTCCCCAATACAGTTATTTATCACAGCTTGAACTTTAGTTCTTTTTAATCTAATATCTTTGGCTATCTGAGAATCTGGGAACAACTTTGGTAACAAATCTGCTAAGTGATTCATGACATTATGAGATACCTTATGCTCAGCAACAAAAGCAGCTAATTTTATTTCTGAAGTCTTTACCAATTGCTTTTCATTAGTTGGCATGGATTTAAAAACGCTTACTATAGACTGTTGTTTTTTGGACGTTGAAGCACTACACCTCTTTAAATTATTCACGTGTTTAGTTCCTTCTTTGTGGCGTTTTATTACACTTATTTCGGCACTGAAAGATGTATTGCAAACATTGCAGACCGCCTTCGATAAGTCCCTATTATCCTTTCTTAGCCAGTCACTATATTCTTTATTCAGCAACCATTCTTCCCGAAACTTCTGCTTATAACGCTTTCTCTTAGCCGGTACTCGTGTTAAGCTATCTTCTCGATCAGTAGCGCTGTCGCCATCACTCTCCATATTTTTAAACACTCAGATCACACACAACACAACACAACAAACTCTTACGTAATTTTAAGTATTAATGAAATGTTAAGCGGGCTACATACGACACGATATCGGTGGCGATCTAGGGTGGAGTAGTGGGGATGCCTCCTAGATTGCCTCTAAATCGTGTCGTATGTAGGGCCATCCTAAGTCGTGGCCGATATCGCCTCCTTAATCGGCTGGCAGGAGCAAAAATGCTTCCTAGATCAGCCGATGCTTCCTAGATCGGGGCACCGCCCCCTCCTTACTGCGTGTGTGTAGGCGCATCGGCCCGATTTCTTTAGGCAGTCGCTGCCGGCAACCCTCGCGGAAGGAAGTTAACAAAACATTGATACTGAATGACCTTTTTTTATATAACAAAATTTTTACATTTTAATCATATAAACGGAGTAGAAGCCTATGGCACTGATATTTTACAAAAAACCAAAAAAAAAAGTGAATAAAATATATAAATTAATTGAAATTTTATCGAAATTCAAATCATATCCACCCTAGCCTGTGACCCTGCGAAGTGACATGGTCAAGAATGCCTACTAAACTAATTTTTTTATTGCCGTTCGTAAAGTAGAGTGTATGATGTAAGTAAGGAGAAGATAAAGCCTCTCCTCAAGAACTAACTCCTATTCCAACGCTATCAACACAAGACCGCACTCATATCTCTTACAACTCCACAAGACCACACTTCGATCTCTTACGTGCCTTCATCCTCTTATCAACAACTAACTTCTACTCCTTCACCATCTCCACATCAACAAACAAGTTATATAAAAGGGAGTATGTCCGAAATTAAAGGTTTCTTTATGTTTAAAAAAAGATATAAGCTATTTTATTTTCTGATAGTTTTACTCCATAAATAAAGATTACATTAAAAAAAAAGTATACATATTATTATACAAAAGTATTTTATTTCCTTGTTTGTTGTGTGTATACATAACCAGATTTTGACCAAAGCAGAAATGAACAAAGAGAAGAAATAACTAAATAGCATAGGTAGGAGAAATTGACGTTTTTATATAAGTGGCGAAATCATTTCTAGAAGGTTATAAAAACTGTCTTCATCCATCCGGAGAAAATTAATGACGTCCTTGGATTACAGGCCATTTAGTACGTTTATGTAGCTTAATTTTTATTTTTTTTGGAGCCATTTTTTTCACCCAGCAACTCCTCTTTTTCTATTTTCGAATAAATTTACCGAGAGGGCTAATGCCAAACCAATACATTGGTGTTTTAAGAGAGTTGAAGCTATTTTGAAGAACTCTACCGCATATGTGTTCCGCTCCAAGTCCGAACGCGTACTGCTAGGCAGGCCCGTGTGTAGGGTCTGCCCCGATAAAAGCCCCGATTTCTTTCCACCCTAGATCGCCACCGATATCGTCTCGTGTGTAGCCCGTTTTAGTCGTATCTCGTTTATGATACAAATAAACTAGGAAAATTAAAAAGCTCTAAGTATTCATTGAAATTCAAATACATACAGCACCCCCGAATTCGTTCGCATAATATCTCCAAGCTGGTACCACGCTATTGGGGGATTTCCCGACGCATAAAACAGTGTTGTCGGTAGAATAAAAGGAAAATACTGTAACGTAAAGAAAGTAAACAATCAAACTCGCTAAAATTATTTTAGTTTATAGATAATCATATTTAGATACGATCTTCATTGGGTATTACGGTGTATTTTGCTACCGTAATTATAATCCTACGGTAGGTGGTAGATCTATGCTGATTACGGTGTTTTTACCGTAATTACGGTGCAGTTGGCAACACTGGTTTCAGTTTATACAAAGGTACTCTGTGGACGTAGGTGAGAAGCGAGTCTACCAATTTTAGTAGACTAGTAGTAGTTCTGTACGGACAGTGTGGCATCTAGACATGTATATAATCAAAGTTGCCATATTACATGCAGACAGTTCAATTTTATTTACATGTCTAGATGTGCGCATTATAGGTAGGTAATGTGAAACCCGTTTTCTTGTTCCGCGGCTCATTCCTCTCGATACCGTATACGATAGGATACGATATAATTGTTCGGTCAAGTTTCGCAAATCGACATTGATCTACGCAACAGCTACATCACTCCCCCCCACCTTCCCCACAAGGAAGCTATTCTAAGTAAAGCTTGCTTAGTCCACGGTGCGGAACGGACTTTTTAGGTTAATTTAAAACTTCGTGTATTGCATACTACGCTTAATTGCTTTTGAGAGAAGTAAAAAAAATCGAAACCTGTAGCAAATAAAAATAAACTCCTAATTATTACGTAAAACTTTAAACGAGTGAAACCGTAACGAAGTCCCCAAAATAATTTGTTATATTTACGCAAATGCTACACATTCAATGAAACTAATTTTACGGATTTTGTCGCGTTTAATTTAAAATTTTAATTCCTTACGTTATGATCGATCTTGAACATGTTGAAATTCTGCAACGACCTTCTGGGAAGTCTGCTGTATATCAACATATCCAAAATCGTCCCAACCACTACACCGATACCATACAATATATAGATTTAATACAACACAAATTCTAACGGCGACGAGGTTCACCACCCGTCACGTTCTGTCTCTCGGAGAGGCGAAAAGTGGATTGCAGAGGCCCGTCTGGCTACGTTGAATGTATGTGGGGCAATGAATGATAAAATGGATGAAGTATGCGACATGATGTATGATAGAGGAATAGATGTATTATGTGTAAATGAGACGAAAAGGAAGGGGAAGGATGTCACTGCACATGGCATGTAAATTCTAACAAAAGAACATCGATTCCTACTAAGGATGATTCGCGAGACTATTGAAATAAAAAAATATCCTAATTTTAATAGAGAAGATGGCTGGGAGCTAACATCAGCTTGGAATCCAATAATTGATAAAATTTAATCTTAGCCCAAGCATACCACTGCAAGACATCAAGATACTGTAAGCTCGTTCTGTGTAGATCGTATCAAACATAAATTATATTAAAAGTTGAAGGTAGCCTTCGTTAACTATGACATCAAAACACCTCAGTTCCCCCGTGACAATGGGTGCTATAAGATCGGAAATTAAAAGTGGACATTAATCGCGATAGAATACGTAAAATTAGTTTCAATTAATAGATACCAAATAGATCTTCGGAACCAGGCGTTCGCTTTAAATATAGTGCGCAAGCAATCCGCGTTCGATCCCTGCCAACAGCACTGAAACTGTTTGAGCCGTATGTTGCTTAATCCGAGGGCGGCACTGAAAATTTCGGGAATCAAGGAAGTGACACAACATTACTATTTAAAAATTTATTTATTGCTTTCCGAAGTATTCTACGCGAAATTTGACACATTTTTCCATACGATGGAACCAATTATTGAAGCAACCATTCCATTCGGAAGTTGGAGTCTCCAAAATGGCCGTTTTGTAGGCGTCCACAGCTTCTTCAGGTGATGAAAATCTCTGTCCACGCAATTTATCTTTTATCTTAGGGAAAGTATAGAAATCATTAGGGCTTAGGTCGGGGCTGTACGGCGGATGGTCTAATAATTCTATATTTTCTTGCTCTAAAAACTCTTTTGTTCCGTGTGCGGTGTGAGAACTCGCATTGTCGTGATGGAGGATGATGCGGCGGTTGCAGTTCTCTTTACGGAGTGCAGAAACGACCTGTGGCAAACAAATGCTAGCATACCATTCCGCATTAACTGTTCTTTGTCTTTCAAGAGGGATAGTCGTAACATGGCCAGTTTTGCAGACAAACGTGGCCACCATTTTTTTGCAACACTCCGTGAACGAACAATTTTTGTTGGCTTTAACTCATTTTCGAACACCTAAACTCGTGACTTGTTTTTTGTTTCGGGTTCATACGCGTATATCCAGGATTCGTCACCTGATACGATGTTGTATACAGCATTTGAGGATCCTGCGTGGAATCTTTCGAGAGTTCTGACGCACCAAGTAACGCGAGCCGCTTTTTTGCTCTTCACAGAGCGAATGCGGTATCCATCGGGAAAACAACTTTTTCACACCTAATTGTTCATGCAAGATTATTTGTATTTGACTCATGCCAATGTCTAAAGTTGCTTGAATTTCGCGGTATGTCACATGTCGATCTTCCTCAATCAGCTTACGCACAGCATCAACGTTTTCTTGGGTGACTGCAGTTTTTGGACGACCTTGACGGGGATCATCACTGAGCTTGACACGTCCACGTTGAAATTCAGCAAACCAGCGATAAGTTGTGGTTTAGGATGGGACTTCATCACCAAATGCAGAAATCATCCGGTCAACACACTGTTTTTTTTAAACCACTTCGAAAGTCATAATAAATCATCGCTCTTGAATTTTCTCGAGTCAATTCCATTTTCTCAACGACTAAACAAGTTTGACAAAACCTTGTGACAAGACCGAGAATCTTTTTTTTAAATAAATAAATGGTATTCGATCTTTAAAACCAAGGAGTTTTCAATTAAAAAGATTTTATTACGACAGGAACAGTAGAAATATTCCATTCCCGATACCTTTAGTGCAGCCTGGTCCATCGGCCTTAACTAACGACCAGAACCGAGTGTTTCACTAAGAGAAGAAAACATAAAAATAAATTTTCTCTTACTGTGAGTAAAACTTTACAGCCCAATAATTTACAGCTCGCCTGAAACTAACGAACTGAAACAAACGGCTGAATGTGTGCCGCCTAATAAGTCCCCCGTCTAATCTACACTTTGCCAAAAATATTGAAGTACATATAAGTACATATACTTCAATGTCTTAAAGTAATATGTACAAGCACATGTACTCGTAGCCTAAATAATTGCGGCGTGTCCTTGTACACAATGTCGGCGTTACCGCGTTGCTTGTTAACAATGTGTACTATATTGATACCGAAGCCGGTCTCGTATTGATTTTACGTCAATTACTTTGTACAAGATAAGCAACCACCAAAGGATGTCTCACAGTGCGCGGCAATGTCGTAATACTTATGGTCGCGCTTGAATCTAACGAGCAAGCGGGCACAGAGGG